TAAGTATAGGACTACCGACCAAAATGAAATTGAGGCAGAGGTGTACTTAAGTTTTGAAAGTATGTTGATGCTGCCATGTACTGCAAGGGACAATGTGATATTGCAAATTGACTCTGTTGAGATTGCAAGTTGGCTGTATTGAGAGTCTGGGTTGTGTCCGAGCTTCCCCATCAGAAGAGGGAGTGAGTGGCATGGATACTCAATTATCGCAAAGACGTGTTGCATTTATATTGATATATTACGTGATTGTAGTGCAAAGTAAATTTGACAATAATTTTAGTGTTTTTGCTGCAGTTTGATTGTTGATGGATCTTGGATTTTTATTTTATTCTATGTATATCTAGAAAATTATTATTTTTTAATGAGGTGTCTGGTTGTAAGAGCATTAGATGTCTCTTCAGCCAGCATGCCAGTCTGTTGGGTTCCCTTGCCCAAGGAAGCCACAGATGGAGTGATATGTGTAGACAGCAAATTGACTATCAAAAAACAAACAAAAAAAAAACAAAAATATAAAAATTATCAATGAACTGTGATACGCTGTCTGTGTTGTTGTCACCGTCACGTGTAAGGAGTACAGTAGAGTTGTTTTACCACAACATTTCTGGATGAATGCGATAGGGAGCTGGGGCACAGCAGGCAGCAGTCAGCAGGGAAGGCGAAGAGGCCCCACAGGCTGATCTGCACATGAATGCCTGCAAGCACTTTGCCTATATGTTTTTTTCTTTTTATACTTTTTTATCAATTCTTTCCCGGATGGATTTGTGGAATGATGAGATGGTTTTGGTGTTGATATGCCTTATTGTAGGTTTGTCTTGGAGTCGGGAATATTTAGTACATTGGCTCATGCATAAGATCTTTAGGTACAAGATCAGATCATAAATTTGTTTTCATTTACATCTTGCATGTCTGTTCTTGCTACCCAAATTGCTACATACACAGTGCTATACATAACACATTGTCTGGATTTGCAATACCAAGCAAAGCAGGTTTAAAGCTCACTTGTAACATGAGAGAAAGCAAAGTCAAACTGCCAGGTAATGCATTTTCTGCTAATACATCAGAGGGTCATCTTTCCAAATGAAATTGGATTTCAAAAATTAAATTGCATTGACTTCAGTTTGTTCCTCTTGCATTCGTGGCTACGAACCTTTCGGAAACGAATTACGTCAGTCAGTATCATGCTGAATGAAGTGAATTTACAAAAGCTGCTGTGTTGGTATCTTAAGTAATTTATTTGGTAAGTTAAGGTTGACCAAGTATTATAAAAACAATCACCCAAATATGTACAAAACCTTCAGAAGGTTGAACTTTTTTTAATCACTTACAAACATTTATAAATGTAGGAAATGTAAGCAAAGTGACATTAGTTTATTAATACTTTGTGTTTTCTCCCCCTTTTCTTTCTTCGATGCTGTGGGGGCATGATGGGTTTTTGATGGTGTTCTTTTCTGAAACCAGTAGAATTTGGAAACTGAGGGGCTAGTACCTGTGAGAAATTACGAGGGCTTTTTTCATGCATCAGTGTTAATACCACAGATGTGATTAATATTGGCAAATTTGTGAAAGTTTGCATATTGTTTACATTCCATTTGCATTCCAAAAAGATGTCTTTTTATGTTGGTATTCACAGAAGATGCTGAGTAAATTCTTCAGCCACTATGTACCATGCAGTTTCATTCCTTTTCACTGTCTTCTTTCTTTACATTTGTAATCATAAACGCTCTCCTTCCAAGTATATTGGGTTGCTCTTTTTGTAGTGCAAGCACAGTACTGTATTATTTAATAGTAAACTAGCCATATGATATGGTAGCCAGATAGCAAAGTGTTCAGCACTGAGTATATTCTGGGGTCTTCTAAATTGTTCATTATGCTGCAAAATTATTTTCCTGGTTAGAATTCAGTCCCAAGCATGACTGCAAATGCATTCCATGACAGTTTTATTGTCCCTCGCATACCTCAAATCCATTTATGGCTTACCCTGAGGCTTTTAACTAATAGTTACTACAAAATATGGAGCTGTTTGAATACTCACTCCATCCTTTTATGAAATTTTATTCTAAAGAAAGGCTTTTAATTATTTACTCTCTGTTTTTACTCTTTTGCACACTGCAGACATGTAGTTCCTGCCTGATACAATCATTATGTGGAAGTTGTATATAAGGTTGAAACATTCCCTAAATTTATTTGACTTTTCTTTTTTCATTGATATGTGATGCTGATTAGTATTAGAAATAAATTTAGACCATTTTAAGTCAAAGATATCAGTCTCTGCAGGAATTGTCTTTATTTGAAGCTAAGTGTTCTTTTTAATCTATTTTTTCTTCCACATTTTAATTCTGTTGCATGTAATTGACGTCTGATCAGAGATTTGGAAGGTTTAAGTTTCTTAGAGTAGGTGTTTCTATTCGCATTTTTCCTCCATCTTCTTTTTTTTCCTTACTTAAAAATTTTACTGTTACTATTCATATTCCTTTTCCTTTTTTGTATTCCTTGCTTCCTTTTATCTTTTCTAACTTTTTTTCTCTTCCACATATTTTTTCCTCTTTTTTCCTCCTCCTCCTCCCCTTTTTGCTGCTGCTCCTTCTTTTCCTCTTCCTCCTCCTTTTCCTCTGCCTCCTCCTTTTCCTCTTCCTGTATCTAGTTCTCCTCTTCCTGCTCCTAATTTTCCTCTTCCTCCTCCTCCTCCTCCTTTTCCCCTTTTCCTCTTCCTCCTTTTCCCCTTTTCCTCTTCCTCCTTTTCCCCTTTTCCTTTTCATCCTCCTTCTCCTTTTCCCCTTTTCCTCTTCCTCCTCCTTTACCTTCTCCATCCTCACCACCACCTCCTCTTCCTGTCTTGTAAATGGCAGAATGACCATCAAATTAAAGCTGTGATGAAAAGGGATAACACATGATTGAGAGAAATTTACGATACCCATCCCTCACACTCCTCGTGTTCCTCGCTTTTGGCAAATCATTTCCTTTGTCAGCTTAAACTTCTGTGTGGTCCCAAGGGCTGCAAGAAAAATGTAGAAGGCATCTTAGTGCTGAATGCTACATGGTGGCAATTCTGGATTGTAATTTACACCATCATCCAACCATCAGTGTCTTTGAGATCTTGATCATGCAGTAGCCTCGAACAGTGCATGCCTTTTTTTCACACAGTCTTTTGCTTGATAAGTAGATGTAAGCATTTAAGAATATTGCTACTTTTATTTTGTTTGTTTGTTATTATTCATTATTATTATCATTACTATGGGTAAGTGTTATTATTTGCATTTTTTTTTTTTCAATGGTATTCAAAACGATACAAAGGCGTGTGAAAGGGTGTGTAAGGGAGTTGAACTTTGCCTTGTTAGAGTACCTATCAGGTGTATAGGTAATGTGTGGTGTCAAGACTCCGAAACGATATTTGCCAGCGGAAAAAATGACTAGGTAAGTGTTAAATTCTTTATCATTATTTTTTTTTATATCAAACGTTTCTGTAGAAATTTTTGCCTTAATTAAATCATGCATTATTTTGAGGAGATGAAGATGCTTGAAAGAGCAATAGTTGTTTACCTTTAGAACATTGCATCAATCATAAAACTGCCATTAGATTTTAACTATTACCACTGTTAGTATTGGTTGTTAATGTTAAGTGTACGGCATCAATGTAACAGTCGAGAAGTGTTGAGGTTATTGCCAAGTACTTTTTATATCATGGTTTTGAGATGCAGAGTCTTAAGTCATCATTGTATTGTAGGATAGTGTTCACCCAGAATCACAATAGCATTGCTTTCATGAAGACGTTGCTCAAAGTGATTGGAAGAAACCTTTCGGAAAAGGAATGACTGAGCCGCAGTTTTACTATTATGTTAATGATGATTATTATTGTTATTATTATTATTATCATAATCATTATTATTATTATTATTATTATTATTATTATTATTATTATTATTATTATTGTTATAATTATTGTATCACTACTGTTATTATTGTTATCATAATTTTATTTTATTTTTTATTTTATTTATTTTTTTTTATTTTTATTATTAATATTATTATTATTAATATTATTATTGTCATTATTACTATTATAATTATTATTATCATCATAAGCACTATTATCATAGTTATTATGATCATGATCATTATGATCATTATATATATCATCTTTATTATTGTTATTATTATTATTATTATTACTATTAATATTATTATTATCATCATCATCATTATTATGATATTTGTTATTATTATTACTCCTCTTATTACTATTATTATTGCTATTATTAGTAGTAGTGCTGTTATTTTTATAATTGTTATTATTACCATCATCATCTTCATTAGCATTAGAATTATTATGATTATTGTTTATATTAGTATCATTGTTTATGATTGCTATGACTATTTTTTTCTTGGCATGGCTTGCCGAGCTGCTTTTGTAGTGCTTTCCTTGTGATCTCAGTTAATTGATACACTGATGATATTTTACTTTTTTTATTTTTTTATTCTTTTAATTCTGACAGATGAAAACGTACCAGCACAATGTCTGATCGTGAGTTGTTGTTGTCCATTGCCGTTGGAGAATCAAAGGGGCTTTCAAGAAGTATAGAGGGAAGAATCATTCTGTTGTACATGTACACACATGTGCACACACGCACTTGCACAGGCACAGGCACAGGCACACGCATATGCATACACACACGCATACACTTACACATTTTCTCTCTCTCTCTCTCTCTCTCTCTCTCTCTCTCTCTCTCTCTCTCTCTCTCTCTCTCTCTCTCTCTCTCTCTATATATATATATATATATATATATATATATATATAATATATATATATATATATATATATATATATATATATATATATATATATAAACAGACATATATACACACTCACACATGTATTTTTATGTGTGTGTGTACAGAGGGGACAGGTTTACATCACGTAAAGGTGTCAACAATTTCTCTTTCTCTCTCTAACCCGACTTACAAAAACATTAACACCTTTTTCATGTTTGCTAATATTACAAAAGATAATTCCTAAGCACTGGATACTTTATTGTGAAGTCACTGCTGCTAGGAAAGTTCTCCCCTTTTAGGCACCGTGTGCATTTGATTTTTAATGTAATTTCAAAGGGAAAGCTATAAAGAAGGTCTGAGAAAGGAAGTGGTTTTGTACATTATAAATTTTGGGCTTTAGATCTGGTGCATTGACCAAGAAATTATGTAAGAACTCGAGTGTATTTCAGAGACAGACACTTCTTCTGCGTTCCTTCACTGTGTGTCTTGCAAACAACTGTCAAGGGGGCCATCCTTAGCGTCGAGGGGGGAAGGGGTCGGGGTCAGGGTCGTGGTGCGGGGAGGGATGGAGTTGCTGTTGGTTTTGAGTAGCTGAGCGAGGACTTACCTAGTTGTTTATTATGTCCTATAATCAAATTTCGTTGGTATAACAAATGCTTAACCCCAAACTGTCCAACTACGAGTGAGCGGATTTCATCTCTAAGCACAACCAGTGCAAAAATGAAATTACCAACATTACCAGTTTAACCCATCAGCGACGGGTAAAAATTTTGTCAAGTTTACATATGCACCGGCTTGTTGGCGCGCACTGGCAGTTTCCCTTGTTTGCGCCCGGCTCGATCGGTAGTTTGCGAGCGACATATAGCACCTAAAAGCTTTTATTTTTCTAAAATTTATAAAAATGTTAAAATTTTGAAGGTTTACCTTCACTTTAGGTGCCATTGCCTAAAATCTTTACCATATAAATGAAGCCGCTACTAGTGGAGAAAAACAACCTCCGTCAGATGAGCCAGTAGTGCGGGAATGGGCATGGCACGATGCCCCTGGCGTTTGGTCCATAACAGCCATGGCATGTACGTACGTGACACCCGGCGCCAATGGGTTAAATGGATCCCTGGAGAAGTGTTTTATTGTATTGGATTCCTCCCAGTACAGTTGATTTGCAATGAAATTAAAAAGCAAAGATTAAAAGGAAACAGAGTTAACTTTTTTTTTCATAAATAATGTGGCAGATATAATTTGATTATGATGTGTACATCGTATGTGTAAGTGACATTGATTGAAAACTGCACATGTGCACACATATGTACACACTTGTACTTACACATGTAGACAGCAAGTACACAATCACTAGGGACTGCAGTAGATTATAATTTGCACATGATTTTTCCTTCTCAGTTAAACATGTTCAGAGATATACATATGTACACATGTGTACACACATATATGTTTACACACACATTTTTTTTACACACATAAATTCATGCTTCACACACATATTACTCACATTTATATACTCATGTTCCCATACGTCCACACGTACATGTAAAAGAACACTAATCAAAGGTTTGAGAGTAGTTGTGCCTGCATTCATATGATGGGCATGTTGCCTTAGTTAAGGTTTAGCTCATTTTCACCAGGATTGCTTTTTAGGGGGAACCAAAGAGCATATCTTCATGGATCAGACAGTACTTGAAAGAAAATTTAATTCAGTTTGTATGGTAGTTTGATAAATTTTTGTTAGTAAGTTACAAAAAGTGAAGGGGATTTTTTTTTTTTTTTTTTTTTTTTTTTTTTTTTTTTTTTAACAGAACCACAATTTATGAATTTCAACACTGCTATTCACAATGGCTTTTTAACTGGTTTGAATGCTTCTGTTTATGACACTGGAAAACCTGTTAAAAAATGTGCTGCAATTAATGTTCAGAATTTATAAATTTTGTTCCTACTTCCCCCCCCCCCCTAACTTGGTTTTATTTTTAGCATCTTCATATTATTATTTTTTTTCATTGCATAATATATTATTCAGATGGAGAAGAGCTTTATGCAAGACATGTATATGAGTTGTTGGGAGCTTTAAGCCGTGCTAAGGATACCCCACAAATTTAATACCAAGATACGTACAACATCCAAATTTGAAGACAATAGGTATGATTTATAACTAATAAAATTTTCTCCCTTATCTCTCCCCTCACTTGTAGGGATGGTCCCTTTAAGGAGCCAGTGAGTCAGTCAGTGGCAGTAGAGAGCTGTTAGGCATTTTGTGATAGGGTACGTCAACCAGGCATCTGCAGAACCAAGGGTGTGGTAGAGACCTGCTAAGGAGTCGAAGGAATACTTTTCCGTCTGATTTTTCAACCATTATATCAGGAGGCTCAGTTAACTAGGTAGACATGTATCCACAAAGTTTAGATATGTTTTAACAATCCCATCGTAAAATCCTATGTTGGGGTATGTCATGCTAGGATATATCATGTATCCTAGGCCTCCAGAGTCCCTATGATATTGTTTTAGACATGAGGTCTGTCAATGTAGAAAGGTTGAGAACCATTGCTATATATCACTGTATACTGTATTCTGTGATGATGGCATTTACCCTTAAGCCTTGTACCGGTAATTTTATACTATTTGCTAAAATCATTAGTTCCTCCCATAAGCTTGACTAAGCTGTTCACACTGATCAAATATCTCGTAAAACTTGTATCCTAAATGAGTAATATTGTTGTAAGA